TAATTTATTTGTTGGTTTTCATGGTACTTCACAGACAGAAAGCCAAGTATTAGTGAGAGCAAGCACAATTCAGAAATGAATCTTTCTTTACAAGTTCAGCAGAACATGTGTTTTGCACTTACACATTTCTTTTCCCTAGAAACAAACACAGATAAAAAGAAAACACAGCAATGAAAATTGTTGTTGATCTATGGCACCATGTATATGAAATAGAAGCAGATTTCAGTTGGTTCTTTTGGAGATTGTAGTCCTAAACATACTTGAAAATTAGTCATTTCAGCTCAGGGCCTTCTACTGTTTTTTCAGCATTTACAGTTCTTAGAATATGATTCTATGTTACCTCATATAATCAACTAAAGTATGTTCATAAACAACTTACAAAGTTTTTTGAAAGTTGGGTGTAGCAGACATATTGAGACGACAAGCATTCACTTCATGGACTCCCTGTTCAATACAGGACCTTGTTTTAAGGCAAGCAGTTTGATTCTGGAACAAGCTTCAAACAGATGGAAAGCAACACGATGGGAAAAAAAGATGAAGGACTGCACACTGTGCAATTTTTGTTGGCAAGTGTCACTTCACTATCATGAAGGGGCTATGGCAGGTAACAGCAATACTTCAGAAAGGCAAAGCTAAGGATTATTTTGTATTACATAATCCAGAAGTGGGGTTGGAAAAAAAAAACAACAAATAAAACCAAAAAAAGAGAAATGGCCTTGGAAAACAAGAACCTCTAAAAAAAATCAGGCTTCTTCTCTGCCTTTAGCTTTTTAGACTTTTATCCTTTTTTATTAGTGGATTTAGTGGGCCCTTGTAAACCTCGTGAAGTTCAACAAAGCCAAGTTCAAGGTCCTACATATGAGTCAGGCATTCCCAAGCAGTGATTTTATCTATATTAACTTGTATTAATAAAGATAAATATAGATATTATAATATAGATAAAAGGCCTAAATTAAAAAAGGCCTTTCCATCAAAGCCAACATCATGATCAGAAAACAAAAATCAGTGGTCTACTAACACAGTGCTAGAGGTGCAAGGTGGCCAGTCATGACTGAAGAGCAAATAAACCTTCTGGTCCTTTTGTATGAGGCAGTAACCTTTGGAGGCAGCGTAGGGGAACAGATGGAAGCAAGGTCCCTTCAGTTCCTGGTGTCTAAACCAAACAGGGTTTGCAAAAACAGACTTTCAGTCCAGTGGCCAGCCCTAGTCACTGTGATTATACTCACATTAGTAAATTAAACAAGTCTGGGACCAGTCTCTGCCCCTGAGGCCAGCTGGCACAGGGCATCCAATGTCCGTCTATGAAAGCTTCAGAAAGTCCATGAAAGCACAGTCTGCCTGTTTGTAATGTATCCCCTAACCCACACCCTGGAATACTTTGGGATACTGCTCATTGGCTCAGGCTAAAACCATGTAAGGATTATGAGAATTCATGTAAGGATTATGAGAATCAGTAGAAACAGCTGAGTTTGGTGTTCAGGAGCATCCCTGACACTGTTCAATTTGCTGGTATAGGCAAAGCTTTAAAGAGTCTGTACAATTTCCACACTTTGATCTGTGCCAATGCCCTCACCAAGTCCTTGTGGCAAGAGCCCTCACAGGCAGTGGCATTTCTTGCCCTGAAATCAAAGGCTCCCAGGTGTATTGTCTAAGAGCTCAGACTCCTGTGCACTGAGCTGCTGTGATCCCTGGCTCTTCCCTACTGCCCATGCACCTGGATCCCTCTCTGCACACCAGAGCTGCCCTCTGGTGCAAATCCTGCCTCTGGCATCCAACTGCTGTGAAATGTAGCCAGAAAGGGGAAATGTCCCAAACCTCCACAGCTGCTTGCTAAGAAAAGCTGTGTTGAAGCTGTGCCCGAGCTTGCCAGGGCCTGCTCAACAAGGATTTTCTGTTTGGAGGCACTATGACTACTTTTACTTTCTGTATTTCCAATGCACCTTTAAATGTCAGACTAATTTTGGGGGAAACCAGCTGAACCACAACAGAGAGAACAGGGCACACAGATTCCCTTCTATATTGTTACCTGAACTACAGATTCAGCTCCTCCGCAATTATTCATTAACATTAATGTGGATGGAAGCATTTTCCAGCATGATAATGCCCAATTTTACCCCTGCAAAACCCATCCAAGAATTCTTGGCATGTTGATACCCTCCATGTGACTCAGCCTGCCATAGAAAAAGGAAGTAGATGAGGGAATTTTAGGAAGGAAAGGGGCTGAAACCATACACACGGCTAAGAGCAGTTAACTGCATACAGAAAAAGCAGGAAATGCAAGGGCTTGGGCAAAGAAGGAAAGTAGGAATACAAGCAAATAGGAAGGAAAATACAAAGACTGATTTGCGTGGAAGGGAACATGGGAGAAAAGGATATGGAGGGATTCTGAAATGAGGAGAAAAGAAAACGGGACAAATCAGACAAAAGGGAAATTATATATGTCCTGGTATAGAGCAGGCAGGACTGTGAGGGAATCCTGTTCAGGCAGAAGAGAGCATACATAAGGACAACCTGGAATGAGACAGAGCCACCAATGCCACCAAGAAGAAACTGATGAGCCTAACTAATTCAGTACCAAAAAACTCTCTATTGTAAAGTGAATTTTAAGAGACATTTCAGGCTTGAACACTCATTTTTACAAATTACAAAATTAAGGGCTTGAACTTATACATAAGAGATCTACTATTCTCATCTCCTTGTGGCAAAATACAAAATATAGCTCCTACAGGAGCACACCAAAAGCAATTGTTTGGAATGACACTACCCTCTGGTGGTCAAAAAATATAGTTATATGGACACCAGGAAGTAAAATATTCACAGCTGGCTGTACAGATAACTAAAAGATACAATCAATTCCAATCCACGCTCCAGTAATCCACCTCGAGACCGTGCTGTTAAATCAAACATCTTATTAGTTTGTTTAAAAATGACAAAGTCGTGACTAGTCATGCGCACAAATAACTGTCCAGGGCTCTGAAAGAGACCAGGTTTTTTTTTTCTTCCACATCACATCTACAGAACATCATTGCTGGGAAAAGCAATTGTATCAATGCATAGTTTTAATGGAGGTGTTTTGAGATTTATGTAATGACTTAACACAGTCATGTCTCCTGCCTTGCCTCACTCAGGTTTTTTGACATCTAATCCTGTACAAACAGTAAAAGCCAAATACTAACTGCTCTGTCATTTTCTCCTTTCCTCTCTTTATATCATCACTGTTCAACGGCTGTGTTTCTCCTCTCCTGTTAAAAACAACCATATTTCTCAAGGCCAAATGCACCTTCCAAATACTCTTTTATCACCAGACTTCTCAAGCCCAGATGTCTCAATGGTCCTACATTTCTGGAAATGAGGAAGATCTTGTCATGTCACTCCCTCCTAGAGAAACAATTCTGTATGTTTCAACTTTGATCTTTTTGGTAGGTTGACCTTCAACTGAAAGCTGGCTGTTGTTGCTTGGAAGTAATAGATTTGTGTATTGCCTCCTTGCAGACCTTGATCGGACAAAAGTCATTCTTGCGAGGTCTGATTCATTGTCATTGATGCCACCTTGTGGCGAAACTACTGGATATTGGAATTCTGGAAAAACGTTCAGCATTTGCCCCTCCTTGCAGGTGCATTGAATAGCAGCACAGTGGTTACTGCTGCTTGCAGCGCTTCAGTTTTAGAGTTCATAAAACCAGTATTTGGACACTCCTAAAAACACATCACCAGTCTGTAAAAGAGAGGAGGAAAAGTAAGAAGAAGCACCACAAAATACATTTATTTTTGTTTTATTAGAGTGAAAACTAAATCAGTATAACCAATGACACATGGCACAACCATTCATGTGCTCAGAGCTTGGGCATTTTTTTCTCTTTTCCCACTAGAAAAACACTCTGGCAAGAGTTACAACCCATTCCAAATACTGTAAAATAGCACTGCAGGGAGAGACTGAAGGAAAACTCAGCCCCAGCCTAACAGGACAGAAAGCATTTCCCAGTTACCTCACGCTGGGCTCACCCTTCTCAGTTACCAGGCCCAAAGAATTATCCTAAAGGAGTCCATGCCTGTCTTTCCAGGATGGTCCTGGTGCCATTTGGGCCCTGCTATGAATGCCAACATTACCACATTCAGCAGAATGAGGCTGATGCCTATTTTTAGCATTGCTTCCACTAGAGAAGCCCGAGAATCAGCACCTGCTTCCTCCGGGCACTCTGTCAAACACCCTTCTCCCAGCAAGCAAGTGGGAGGAAGAGGCTGAATCAATCTGTGTGCCTCCTTTTTCTACCACCAGGTTCCCAAAAATACAGGAAAGAAACCCCTCTCCTTGCAAAATGTGGTAAATGTAAAAATTTTCCTCAATGTTTGATCTTTGTATATTTCAAGCCTGATCAAAAAGAAAGGAGGTTTTATCCATGAAACAGGGCAGCCAACAAGCTCTAAGTGATGTCTGGGTGTTAGAAACACAAAATAATTGTCAGTAGAATTGCCTTGTAATGGTTTAGAACTTAACATATTTCCACGATCTCAGACCTAGGGAGAGCTTGGGAAAGGATGTACTGCTGATAGTAGATACAGCACAGAATTTATGGGCCACAAGGACATTTAGCAGAACTCACAAGATAAGGAAGAAACTAATAAAGACAACACAGCAACTGTGCTGAATCAGCTCCAACTGGGTAAAAGGTAATTCTGGCAGGGTGAGATCTCGACCACCAGCTCACACACCCCTGACCCAAGAAACACACCGACTCAGAAAAGAGAAACACTGAGCATGAAGACTAATTAGCATGAAAAGTGAGAGAATCGTTAACCAATAGAAGATAGCGTACTAATCAGTAAGAGAATTATGCAGCTTGTAGTCGGTGAACAAATCTCCTGAGGAGTGGCTGAAGGCGCTGGAAGTGCTTAGTGTGGAGAAGAGGAGGTTCAGGGGGGACCTTATCTCTCTACAGCTCCCTGAAAGAAATCCGTCGCCAGGTGGGGGTCGGTCTCTTCTTCTGGTAACAAGTGAGAGGATGAGAGAGCACAGGCTTTAGCTGTGTCAAGGGAAGTTTAGGCTGGACATTAAGAATTTCTTCACAGAAGGGGTAATTAGACATTGGAATGGGCTGCCCAGGGAGGGGGGGGAGTCACTGCTCCTGGACGTGTTCAAGCACAGACTGGATGTGGCACTCAGTGCCATGATCTATTGTCATGGTGGTGTTGGGTCACAGGATGGACTTCACGTCATGTTAGAGGTCTTTTCTAACCCAATTGTTTCTGTGATCCTGCAATTCCTGTGTGTGCTACAATGTACAAATAGCAAAAAAAAGTTCTGACAGTCGGCGTGCTCCTTTTGCTGAACAACACCGAGCACGCAGGCTTGCGCAACTCTAAACAAATAACCAAAGTCTCACTCTCGAGCTCGCTGCAAACCGCGCGGCGGGGGATGTGATCCCCAGGGACTGCCGGGTCCGTGTCCGGTGCCGGTGCCGACCGCGGCCCCGGCCCCGCCGAGCTCCCCCTGCCCGCCCCGGCCGCTCCCTCAGCGCCCCGCGCGCCCCGCCCGCATGCGCGCTGCGCAGCGCCCGCCGGAGGGGGCGGCGCGGCTGAGCCCGTGCCCGGCTCGGCGCTGGGGCTGGAGGCGCTTCGCAGCCACGGACACACCGCAGCGCCGATCCCGCCGGGGAAATCGGCTCCCCTCCCGTTCCCCCGCGGCTGGGAGCCGAGGCCCTCCCTCCGCTCCCGGTCCTCCGGCAGGCTGAGGGGACGGGGAGCCCGGTCCGTCCCGCTGCGGAAGGGCTGAGGGGGCAGCAGAGCCCCCTTGCCCCCGCTTCCCTCCTCGTGCTTTTCCACCGCAGGGAGAGAGCTTCCCTGTCCTAACCCGTGCCCTGCAGGAAGCGGGATCCCCCTGCCCTCACCCCTGCCCTTTGCTCCGCCGAGCGGAGGGTGAGTCAGGCTCCTGGCAGGTGCCGACAGAAGCTGGTTCTTACCTCCAGGGGAAAGCGGGGGCATTTTCCCTCCCTCTCCTGCCTTCTTTCTCCCCGCAGGTGGTGGGGCTGGACCTTCCGCGAGCCATCGGGCCTGTGCAGCTGCGGGCATGGCTGTCCGTGGGGTCGGGAGCTCCCTGCTGCTGATGTCCGGCGTGGTGGTGACCGTGGGGCTGTGCCGGAGGCTGGCCCGGCGCCGGCTGCGCTCCCGCCCGCTCCTCTTCGCTTTCCTTGTGGAGATGTTCAGCACCTTCCAGATCTGCGCCTGCACGAACGAGCTCAGCCTGCTCGGCAACGTGGAGCCGAAGCCGCACACCGCCCTCACCCTCACCTACGGCTTCACCGTCCTGCACGGCCTGAGCCTGGCCGGCAGCACATGCAATCCCTGCGGGACCCTGCAGCCCATGTGGGGCGGCGGGACGTCGCTCACCATGGGGGGACTCAAGATCGCCGCTCAGTTCGTGGCTGCAGTGCTCGCCAGAGTGTTCATGCACTTTATCTGGAGTCTGGAGATGGCAGAGCCACATCTTGGAGCACTCTCACAGGGCTGCAGCAGCCCTATGCAGACTACAGAGATGCAGGCGTTCTGCATAGAACTGCTCTTTTCTGTCGTTTTCCAGCTGGCCGTCCTGCAAGCCGAAAGCGTTAACCCCAAGTACAGAGTCCATTTAATTGCTCTTCTCATCACCATGCTCGTGTATGCAGGTTAGTCTTTTTACTTTTTCTTCTTCTGTTCCTGCAATAAAGTTGTAACGGAAGGGGTTCTTACTGTTTGCTTAGCAGTGTTAAGATGCAAAATGCTTTTTCTTAAATTACACTTTCCTTGATGAGTTCTTTTTGTATTGTCATACGTATGCAAAGTTCATTTGGCGTTTATATAAAGTTTGCCTGGTTGCATTCCAGGCAGGTATGGGGTTAAGAATGAAATGAGTTATGCAGTTAAAGTGATGTCAGGTCTGCAAGTACATATGGTTAAGTGTTAAAATATCTCAGTGAAGGATTGTTTCATAATCCAACTATTTATACAGCGTGAGAGATTTCATACTATGTGCTCTGATTACAAAGTGACATTGGGAGAGCACCGCTGGCTGCATCAGGAGAAAGTGCTGATTGTGCAACAGCAGCCCACAGACTGGTAGGTAATATGGAAGCTCTGCATTTAAATAATGCATAATTCATATCAGTGCAGTTTATTTAACTGCTTCCTTAAATCAGAAGTGGGAATGGTTATTTGTGGAATGCATACAGAAATAATACCTCATGAGACCAAATGCAAAAAAGGGGGGGAAAAAAAGGTGCCTGATTTATTAGAGCCTCCCTTGTCTGTAATGCCATGTGTGTCCATATCCCTGACTTTTGCTACCTGATTGTCACCTCGTGCTTCCCAGAGCTGAGACGCTGTCACCTGTGCATCCCCTCTGGACCAATGGGAAGGGAGAGGTGAGGGGATTCAGTCTGAACTTCTTTCTTCTGACTGTTGAGGTTCTCTCTTGTCCCCACGGAAGTGACAAGAGTTGTTAGGTCACTTGAAGACTGCCCTGCTGGAAGTCCTTTTCCTACTGGCAAGGAGATTGTGTAGCTTGGAGAAGTGAAAGAGATGATTACAGAACTCTTGCTGTTGCTGCTGCCCCCACCACAGAAAAAGTCATCTAGGGAATCACCAAATCCCTTTGAGAGAGGGAGATCACTTCTCTTACCTGCAAACATCTGGGATGTCATTTATGCCTTGTCCTAAAGGCTTAGCTGTATTAATGCTATTTAACATAATAGCATATAGAACAGTGTACAGTCACATTTTTAGATGTAGTAATGTAAAAATCTTTAGCTGAGATTAGCTAATACCTAAAAGATAAAAGTCATTGGGGAATTTTGAAAATTAACTTAGGAATTTGAACTACTTTCTAAAAGCAGAAGCAAGGTGCCAGTGCATTTGAGGACATTAAATCTATTTCTGAGTTGCTTGGTGGAAGTGTAGCCAAATATCCTCCTCCCTCTTCTACAAGCACAGAAATCTGGATTCCTGATTCCTAACATTCTTCTCCTGCTTAGCACAGAGTCATATAAAATAATACATGTCACACTGCGTTTCTTTTAGCTAATTCATGCAAAGAATTCACTCCCAGTGTCATTGGCCAGGTTCCTATCTTCTCCTAGCAAGAGAAGGCTAAGTGTGCCACGTGAAGGCTGAGTGTTCCAAGTGCCCTTCTGTGCCATAAACCTGGGCTTGTTGGGACTCCCCGGTGCAATCGATCTGCACGAGCTTCTAGGAAACCTCAGGCCTCTTCTGCATCGTGTGCACAACACCCTGTGCTACCTGGTCATTTTTCTTTGCATTTCTTTCAAACTACAATCTGCTTGTCTACTATAAAAATATACAGGTACTCAGAGCCTGTCGTGGCTGGGGCGGTAATGAGGAGCCAGGAAAGTGGCCATGGACGATGCCTGCTGCACATATCCCGTATGTCCTGTGGATGTCATGGCATAGCCCTAGCCATGTCTGTCCCACCTCTGCTGCTTGCACGCAGTAGGGAGAGTCACTCACAAATCAGGTGTCACAAATAGTGGCCTCCAGCAGGGTGGGTTCTCATCTGCAGGCTGTGAAGACAGGCAGATGCATAATTTAGCTGGGCTGGATCATTCTCAGGAAATCTTCTGCACCTCTTCATTTACTGTTTATAGGTCTGCCAGGCACCCTACTCCAACAAATAACATCAGGTTGTACAGTATTTTCAAAATCACAAGCTGTTGCTTTAGTTTTTCTTATACTTTTTCCTATTCAAAAATGTTTATTTTTTTTACATTTAATCCTACACATTCCAAATTTTTATAGTAGTACATACTGTACATAGAAGCTCCAATACTGCTTCACTCTTTTTTCTACTAAATAAAGACCAAAAAGAGAACATTATGTCTTTACATATTACCCTTACTAATGATTCATTAACTAAGGATCCAGACCATATACAAGATGGTAAAGAATATTTCTGGATAACTCCTTTGGGAAAGTACTTATTCAGGGGTTAAAAAAATACACCTTTTGAGGGCTTTTTCATTTACAGGTGGCATTACAGTTAGGTCAGAATCATATGAAATTGGTTAGATTTTTCTGAACCTAACATATCAAGGTACAAATAACATACATATTGTTAATTCTGAGTTTCTTCCCAATTTTGGCCTTTAATAAAGGCAAAAAGGTAAAAATACTTTCTCATGCACTGTGTGGCATTACTTCCCCCTTTAAAGTTTTTATGCACACCCCATCAAAGTGATTACATTTCTTCTGCCATAAAATAATTTGTCTTTTCTGTTACACAGACTGAGGGGCTAAATGAATAAGTTTAAGTAAGATTATAGTGGTGCCCTTGGCCTATGGTTGATATTCCAGTAGTTATTAGTAATGAATATTGAAGAAATACAGCAGTTAAAACTCTGTCTAATGCTTAATGTTCATCAGCTGCATCCTGAGAGTGAAATTCTGCTGTCAACTGTATGTTTGTGAATATAACAGCAGAAGCAGTGGAGTCATAAACAGATTAAAGCAAAGTAAATTACTGTAGCTGGGCTTCCTGGCAACCATGGACATTGCTAACATGTCACTGTGCAGAAAAACAGACTGCACAGTAAATCTGACTTGTTCTTGAGAACAAGTGCAAAACCACAGTAAACTGAGTAGGCAAACAAAGATTAAAATTTTCCTTAACTGTAATAATAGTGAAAGAAATAATAAAGAGAATATGGAAAGAGAAATGAAGAAGAAGAGAATGACAAAGACCTTACTAAAACTTTGGATAAATGATTGCAGAGTCATAGCAAATGAGGATTACAGCAGCAGGGTATTTGTACAAAGGATAAGTTCAAAGCTCATACAAGCTTATCTGGGGAGAAGTCAAGAGTAAACTGTAAGGAATTATACAGATGCAATTACAGAATATGTTATGGTAATGGGTTAACAGATAAAACAGGTATGGGGTGGTTAGTAGCTAACAGTATAGGAATACAGGTAATTTAGCTATGAGCAATGCTTTTTCTGCAGAATTGCAATGAAAGGAACAACATGTCAGAATTAAACACACTTAGCTCCAGGTTCACCTGCAGTGTAATTACAGTTTAGTCCCCAGTGTAATGTGTTTGGATCTTGTTATTTAGAAAATGTTTAGGCCAACTTCATTTGCATCTGAAATCAGAGGCAAGGAAAGATGCTTGACTTCCTTCTGCAAGACAGTGGAGTGGCACTTGCTTCTATTTTCTTCAAACAACATATAGAGTTTTCCCACAGTTCATATACCATGTGAAAATCCTAACATTCTGTACATTGGTATAATAATATTAGTGTTCTTGTAAGAAAGTATAGAGGTCAGCTTAGCAAGAACACTACTTGACAGTTTTTTCTTTTATCTTGCATGTGTGTTTCATGTGACACGAGGCTATAATGTAATGGCTTATGTAAGTTCTGTCTCCTCTAAAATCATGATACAGAAATGGCTTCTAGTTTTATCAATAGAAACATTCAGCATTAGCCAGACCTATCTCTTTAAAGAATATTTGCTAGAAAGAGATAAAGGAAGTTACAGCTTTCCCTTCCCATGTTTTAAAGCCTTTGAGAAAACAGTTAAACTGTTTATTGAGTCATCAGGTGAAGAGCTTAAGGAGAGTCTTACCTGTTCAAACTAATGCTAATTAATTTTATTGCAGGGTGTAGATTTCTTATAGTATGGTGCATTTGAATTTAAAGTAAATATTTAAAAACATGGTCTAATTTCATGCTGTTTACATCTTATTGCAGGTGGAAATCTCACAGGAGCAATCTTTAACCCAGCACTGGCGTTTTCATTACATGCAGATTGTTTCTATGACAAATTTTTGAGTTACTCTCTAGTATATTGGCTAGCACCATGCTTAGGTAAGTTCTTAATACTTTTTGTGTTTGAGAAAGTGTTATTTAATACATGGTTCATAAATCAAGAAATAAGTGTTCTTTATTTGAGAGTGTTTGACTTTTGCATTAAATAAATCCAGAAAATAGTAAATTATAATCTATATGTTGAAATAATTCAGAATCGTGGTTTCATTTTGCAAATGCAGGCTGTGTATTTTTAACATTTTTTAATGCTCTATGTAGAGTGCCTGCAGCACTGTTTAGTGAATTATAGAATTATTCGGATTGGGAAGGACCTTTAAAGATCATGTGGTCCTTAGCTGAAAGTAAATATCAACCTGATTACCTTCAAAAAGAGAAACATACTGGTTACCACACAGTGTCTGTCTTGTTTTGTGACAGTTTACAAAAACATAGGGATGATAAATTAAAAAAAAAAAAACAAACCAAAAAACAAAACCTACCCACAGGTATTGGGACAAGTGCCTTAAATATGCTTTCTCAATTACCACTTTTTTATCCCCATAGTGTCTAAACTTTGCAGTTCTCATTCTTTGTTTTTCCCCATGTCACTGTTGGACACTGTCTGCTCTTAGTTTAAGAAGTGTTAGCAACTAGGTTTTTCCTAACTTAAATTATGGTTTTAATTTAGAACCTATTGATTTTGACTTCTCGGTGTGTACAGATGAAAATGGTCCATGTGATACTTCATGCTGTTGTTTGTTTACAGTTGGTCCCTACAAATCTTGAGCTTTCTGCTTAGGGTATATAAAGAGACAGGCTGCTAATCCTGGTTCTTTCATGACTGTTAATCCTATTAGAAGGTACAACAGTGATGAAGGCAGAACAGCATGTAAGATATACACAGAAAACAGTGGAAAGGGATCCTGTTATGACCAAAAACTTCTTTTTCTTCAGTTCATGTCTGTGCATGTTCTACTTGCCTTGACTCTCAGTCAGCCAAAAACAAAGAAGTTTAAAGCTAATTAAAATTCACTTTAACACAATCTTGTTGAATTAGATCTCTAAACAGGATGACTGAACAGTAGAGTAAGCTTGATAACTGTTCAGTGAATAATTAATGAAATGTCATGGGCAAAGCTGATCAGATTTGCTGGGGTCCTGACAGACCACATAATATTTCTCACATTTCAGCTTTAGCTGTCATTAAACTGATTTCAACCTCATAACATTTAAAGATCTTCCAGGTTGTAAGTATATGAGATTTAACCTTTTGGCAAGTGATTTAAAGAAAGAGGAGACATTCTGAAACCCCATGTTCTACACACATACCAAGATGTGGCCTGCAGAATAGCTTTGCAGCAAACCTCCAGGTGATTTTTGATGTAAGAAAATCAACAGTTGTTAAGTGAAATGGACCCATGGCTCGAGGAACTTAGAATGTGGTTTTGGAGCAATGTTACCTTTCTGTGAAAATTCATAAAAAGTGGTTTCTCATTAGCTGACATCTAGAATATAAACACAGAATACATTGAATGCTGTCTCTTGATTTATGAGGGAAAGGAACTCCTCCAGACTGAGCAGTTGTAAAGATGTGAATACTCAGGACACATCACTCTTGCACAGTGTCACTACTGTAGCCAACATTTAGTGGCAGATCTCAGGTCTGTGGATCACCTGAAGGACTGAGTAATCTATTGGTGCCAAAATATCTCATTACAGAATAAGGATGTTTCATGGATACATTTAAGAGACCTTATAACTCAAGAGTTCAAAACAAATGTACTGTCCAAGGTACAAGAATAGAGGAGACTGCTGTGTTTGAAAACTGACTTGATGAATACAGGAGTGCAAATCTACAAATTTTAACATGAAGTGAATTTTTTCTGACACTTTTTGAAAATAAGAAAATAATAGGAATAGAATTTTTCCTGTCATGATTGGACAAAATGACGAGGCGTCTAGGAAAATGAACTGTTATGATGATGAATTATTGTGGAAAGAACCTCTAAACAGAATAATGAAAGTAGGTGATGAGGGAAGGGATATTTTAAATTCAATTGTAAAAATTACTTTCAGAATCCATATGTCAGCAGAAATGCTGTTTCAGACTTCCTAGAAACTGGCAGAGTCACAATGTTAGGCTAATCTGATGTCTTACTTCTTCCAGCATCAGCTTCTCAGCTGGTTAAATTACTTTGTTCTTACTTTGGGAAATTCTTTCAGAAGGGTTTTTTTGTGTTTTTCTGCAATAACTACCTCACAGTAGTACCTTGGACTAACATATCATGGAACTTAAAATAGCCAGTGGAAAGTGCAATATATTCTCATTTATGGCTGTGGCAAAAATCCATGAGGGCAAGGATATGGAGAGCATTCAGAATACAACTGAATACTGATCTGGCTGTAAGCACATCATAAACAGTGTTCTTAGAAAGGACACTTGGAAAAAGAGCAAGATTGATTATCACTTTCACAAGACAAGGATGAAATGGAAGTTTTCTTTTAGGATAAAAAAAATCTACTGGTGGTTTATGGTCTTTCAGGAATTTAATCTTGAAACTGTAGTTAATTACTCATTTTTCAAAATGGCTTCACCGATGTTCTGGTGAAGGTGATTCTCCAGCAGCATTAAACTCTGGATTCCTCCAATAAGCACAGATGCCAGCAAGTGTTAATAACTTAGCACAGACAGGCCAAAATTCTGCACTGTGAACATAGACTCAGTAAGTACCAGTGGAACAAAGATGGTTTCTGTTTTACTGCCAGAGGAATTCATGTTAGTTGTCCAGGCATGATTATACCATCAGTAATGATGGGGGACTGAGCTAATGCTGCTCTTTCAGTAGCAGGGAGATGGCAGCTATGAATGGAAGAGTTGGTGACAAGAGGTCAATAAAATGAAATGCTCTTTCCTGGACAGGTGCCAGCTTAGCATATCATGGAATTGCATTGTAGAGTGAGGGACATTAAAGACCATCCAGTTCCAACCCCCCTGCTAGGGGCAGGGACACCTTCCACTGGACCAAGATCTCAAAGCCATCCAGCCTGGCCTAGCCTCCTGCTACGTTTCTAAAACTATAAAACCAGAATCAAGGCCCCCTTCTTTAGATCAGTTTTACCAGAAAAACTAATACTATTCCATAGAAAATAAGTGTCAGAACAGTCACTTAGCAGGACATGTAAATGGAGGAGGTAAGCAAAGGAGAAGGCAGCAGGTGAGACTTTGACCTTTCTGCTCAGAGGAGAGGCTATTCTGAGGCTGCCAGCAAGTTCAGAACACTTAAGCAAAGAAACAAGAATTCTATGTCCGTGTTCAGTGAAGTGTTCAGTATTTCAGGGACTTGGAAGCAAAGGAGGTTTTCAACAACAACTGGAAAACAAACTACTCCTATTTCCAGGCCCTGGTCCTCATAGGGGTTTTCAGCTCCATAGACATCATCTGACAGAGCAAAAACTCTTATGCAGTGAGTGGATGCAATCCCTGAAGTTCCTAGAAACTGATAGTAATTATGTGTAATTCAAATCCTAAAGGGCCAGTGAGTGGTAATGCTGAACTTGACGTTCCTACAGAGAAGAATGGGTCCTGAATGTGGCCTGTTGGGTTGTAGTCCTCCCAAGAGTTCAGGGTGCAGAGGAAGACTGGGAAGGTAAATAGCAGAGCTGTCCAGACTTTGGACTTCAAAACAAAATTCTGCTTATTTAGGGAATTGCTAAGTCAGTAGTAATTCCCTTGGAAACTGCTATAAATGGAAAAAGGTGATTTTTAGAAAAGGCTTATGAGAGCTCAGTAATAGATTTAGATGTGCAGAAGGAATCTGTCACATAGTGTTAGACTGGGAATTTGTATAAAAAGCCTTTCCCTGCTGGCTAGAGAAAGAGATTCCCTACAATAAAGGAGAACATGTAAGAGGCTGAAACTGGGAAAGGCAGAAAAGGAGTATAAGAGCTTTGCACAACTTGGAAACAAAGACAGGAAGGCTAGAGCTCAACTGGAACTAAGAGAAGGGACATGCAGAGTTACAAATACACTAATCACAAAAAAAAAGTCTAGAGAAAATGCAGGTCCATTGGTGCATGGGGGAGACAACTTAGTGATCGGTGGCATGGAACAGGCTGAGGTACCACTCAGCCTTCCCAATCAAAATTTGCTCCCAAACCTCTGTGTAAATCAGTAAGGTTTTGGAAAGGGAACAATAAATAGGAACAGCATATGTGATTGTGAATCCACTGTAGTGGTCTATTGCCATGGTGGTGTTCAGTCACAGGTTGGACTCTGTGGTCTCACAGAGCTTTTCCAAAGAAATTGATTCTGTGATTATTGCCTCCTTCTACACAATGCCTGTGAGGTGACATCTGGAACAGGGGTGGTTTGGAGTCCCCCAGTTCAAGAGCAAATGTGTCAAAAAACAGGATCCCGGCAGTGGAGGACCACAGAGACAATGAAGGGCCTAGAGTATCTGATCTAAGGGGGCAGGCTGAGGGAACCAGACTTGTATAGGCTGCAAAGTTAAAATGGAAGCGTGTTTTAAGCACACTCAAGCATTATTTCAAGAGTAGTTACAAGGATAACAGAGATTAACCGTTCTTTTTAGTAATAAGTAACAGCAAGGCCACAACTGGGCATGGGAAGTTTAGCTTAGACTCCAGGAAAACATTCAGGAGGAAGGGTGCAGCAACACTTTTCCTGGAGAAATGCTACAGTCTCCAGTATGGAGGTTTTTGGGACTCAGCCAGGGAAAGTCTAACTGACCCATCCAGCATAGGCAAAGTCCTGCACTGAGTGGCAGACTAAACAGAATCCCTTTTAATAAGCTTTTTTTGTGATCTGAGAAGTTTCATAAATACAAGCTTATGTGTGGCCAACACTGTCAAACAGGATCCCCTTTGTTTCTGAAAGAATAATCTGGTTTTTTTTACTGTGGGAAATAAACTGTATCTGGATGGTCTTTGGACTCAGTGATCCCTGTGGGTCCCTAGCAACTTGAGGCAGAAGTTTCTTTATGAGAATCATACACTACCTCTTAATTACCATTTTTTCAGCTTCAGAATAAACCCTAAATCAGAATGATGTTCAAAAAAACACCCACTATCCCATATCCACTTGGCAGCACCTAAAAACTATGTGGTTATCAAAACAGGCACAGCTAACAAACCCAGGTGAGGGATGGAGGTTAAGCTGCTGGTTCAGCCATTTATACATCCAGCCACAAAGAAAGCAGCCCTGATCAGGATTCACCCAGACAAACTCTTTGCCTTTGGCTTGGCTTACACAGATCAAAGCATTAACTATGAAAAACAAGATTATTATCTCACAGGGAGCACTTGCATGGCTGTTGAAGCTTCCTTTGCAAAAGGTACTGCCGTATTTTGTTAAAGACTCAAATACTTGAATGCAATGTTTATTTTCCATACCAGTAATGTGTCCTTCTCAAACCCATTCAAATAAAGGTCCTTTCTGTAACCTCTCATTTCAGGTACAATACTTGTGGTTTTTATATGGGATGAAATCTTTCCTCGGAAATCCCGATACATCAAATCCTGAAATTTGGGAGCACTACATTAAAAAATATTTCCAACATCTGCAGACATAAAGCTTTCAGAGAACTGCTGACAGACTTCCGTGCCATCTTTATGCTGTATTTTCAGATTTCATGTTTGAAATATTTGACTGACCACTTTGTATTAAAATAATTATTTTGTAAATGACTATTGGGATTTTGGGAATATCTGCCGCCATTTTCAGTTAAGCCATGTGAATGTGAAGGACTGTTAAAACACAAATTTATCACTTTAGCCATAAGTGCCATTTGCTGACCTTTATTAGCATGCAAAAGTAATTTTAGAGAAATACCCCGTCCTTTCAAGGTTTGATTTTATTGGATTTCTTCCCATTGAAGACACCTGCAAAAAGGGAGCTGAAGATTTCTTATACTGACATCATCATATTCCTACTTGCCATATACCTACCTCTGAGAGCAAAAAAGGCTACACTACTCCCTAGAAGAGTCTCCACAGCTCTGTTCTAGAGGCACCCTACACCAAAATTAAAGCCTGTATGACCAACATTCTTTTAATAATGATGATTTTAATACCTGAGTGTAGGTAAGTAACCCCTCACTTCCTTCCAGGAACGCTCTGTCACATCCTGTCCCAGTGGAGACTGTTGAATGTTTACCTTGGTTGGAAAAAAAGCAGTAATAAAATACCATAAAATTCTGTAGACACACACACCAAATGGTATTTTAGGCAAAACCCTTGACTTTTTATCAGCAATTACTGCTGCCTCTTCACATAGACACAGTATATAGAGATGAATCATGCAGTACTCAATTTGTCCTTGATTTTACGTAGCTCTCACCAACTTCTTTTAAAAAACAAATGAATCTGCAGTGCTGGAGAATAAATAACAGAGATAAAAACTACAGGAAAGCTACATACACAAGCATGCCCTTTATAGCCTCAGCTGAGGCAAACTATCCTCTGAAGCTCTGTTCCTAGCACAAGGTTGCTGCTTCTGGCTGCAGCTTAGTTTTTAAACGTGCCAAAATATATTTCTGATATTTAAGAGTAAATTAGTAAATTCAATTTTTCTTTTGAAGTTTACTTGGTTTGAAAGGAGCGATGGTTAACAAATTCTACAAAGATCTCAGTATCATGTCCCTCACCTCATCATCCAAGTCACCTTACAAACTATATTTTAAGAGAAATCAGATGGGGAGTTTTTCACAGTAAACTGATGAAGTCTTTAACAGCTACTATTGTCAGCTATCTTTTTTGCAAGAGTTTGGGAAGTAAATATTTCCATGTAATTTCTTCCTTGTTGCAATAAAATCTTTTCTTGTTTTATTTTTCCAAGGTACCTGTAATATTGTATTACAAAATTAAATCAATTATATGAACATGCTTTACATACAAGAGTCCTCTCCATGACCCTGTATTCAGTTATTAATAATAAAAAAAATTAGCCTGCAAATATGCTGAAGAGAACTAGAACTGCTGGGTTATCATTCAGCAGCTCTTCAACCAGTGTGAATATATCCACCAAAGGAAAATTGGCCTTGTTAAAACTCTCCATTAGCAGGGACCATACACCAGCACACTGACCCTGAAAATATGTGATCCTATGAAAAAATACATATTTTTATACCTTGTTCTGCTTCTAAAACAGATCCTTTTGGGGGTTTCTACCTTCCCTTTCTTACTTTACTGGGTTTTATCTCTTTTACCTCCTTTTAAAGTGATCCATACCTAATAACTTTTTTCCACCACTTTTTCACCTTGTTTCTTATGGAAACAAGTCTTTCAAAATCTACATTACTTGCTGTCTTCTCTAAAGCCATGGAGCCCACAGGATAAAGGGCTCAAAAATAAACCTCAGAGCATAAAAATAGACAAAAGAGAAAACAGATATACAAACCTACAGGCAGTCAAGATTTGTTAAGATTAGAGGGCCTACTTCCACTTCATTTTTGATGGTCTACAAAAGCAAAGTCCATAAAGTGAAGAGGTTAAATCAGATCTGACTTCTCCATGTTTGCCTTGTTTATTTTGGCACAAATAAAACACATATAGTTTAAAAGAATTTGGTACAAATCTGGGTTATTAACAAGTAGTTGCTGTATTTACAGGCATTAGAATATAATTTTAAAAATCACTAGGAATTAGACAAGCCTTAAATTGACTAACAAGAAAAACAACAAAAGTAGCAGAAATAATGAAAAAGAAACCTAAGCTAGGAACTGAAGAATGTAACTGGATTTGGTAGTGCAGGCGAAAAGGAGTACTTTACATTGGAGCTAACGAATGCTTATGAAGTCCAGAACACTTACACACAAAAGGTTTTATTGAAAATAAAACTTGTCAATCCACACAAGGCACTTCTCAATGCTACCTTCAACATTCATTCAGGTTTGTTTCCACCTCAGCTCAATTAATCTTGCTCCATTGATTTGACTGGAAGCATTACAAGATGTCTGCTCCTGAGCTCCACATTAGTACAACACAAATTCTGGATGTAGTGAGTGCTGAGAGGAGCTGTGACCAGTCCAGCTGCCCTGGAGTTAACTTTGCCCATCTGCCAGGGTATGCAACAGGCTGCCATTTAACGTGGAAAACAACAGACACACCACATTCCAACTCAGATTTTCACACACTAAAAAAACCCCCACCAGTCTGCTTCAACAGTGGATGGTGACTTAGAATTCAGTGAGCCCTTTGCCTCAATTATGGTGTTGGTAAGAGTTTACCTGTCCCAAAATCTCACTGTGCCAAGATTCAACAAATGCCAGTGCAAAAATCAGCTCTGTATCCTCCTTTGGAACTCTGAATCCCTAACAGTGACATGCACACACTCACATGAGTAAGTTTGTATGTATACAAAGGGGCTGGTAAAGACATTCCTGTAGAATGTCTTGTTGCATAACATGCTGAATACCTCATTTATTCAGCTACGTCAGTGTTCACAGCACTGTTAGGACATCCCTAACTTGACTGGCATTCCTAAGGAATATTCAACAAAGAGTGGTTATAATTAGCATGTACCTTGGAACCAAATCACGTCCTAACATGTAAGCAAAGTGTAAGGCCAGTAAACTGTTCACATACCAACACAGCAACACCTCACCCCCACCCCCCCAAAAGAAAACCGCAGGTCAATTCAAAGCAAAAGAAAATGGAGGAAGTTTGGTCCAGACTTTCATTTCAATACTGGGGGAAGAAAGAAACAACCCGAATTTGCTGATTTTTTCCAATGGCAAAATCACCATCCCATAGAGAGACGAAACAGGAAAAGCTCCAGCAGAACCAACAAACACCTTGGCAATCTAAAGCTGGGTTCCTAAGTTTGGAATGTGTCTGGTTAACATACTCTGCAAGTGCTCTGCCCTTTTATCCTCACATCCAGGTAAATGACAAAAATGGCTTTGGCTTCACTGAAGATTTTTTTGTTACAGAAGAGGGTTCTGAAACTCAAGGGCTCAAGATGCTTGCTGAAGTAAAGGAGGGAGAACTGCAACAGTGAGCTCACTGTGAGATACAAAAATCTTAGTTTATTTAACAATGTTAACATTTAATACAAAGACACAAAACAGTTCTCTTTGTCCCGACCTTACAGACTTTATTCCATGTCCTCTACCAGCCAAGCTCAGCTCTCAGACAAATGAAAGGGATAGCACTGAAATGGTAAAGCCAGTTACTTGAGGGGGTTTTAATTTAGTTTTTCTTTTGATCCTTGGCCAACCCTATTTCCTTTGAGTCATAACATTTCTATTCCCATTTCTACTCCACAAAGTCAATGACAGGTAAAAAAATATGGAAAATTCTAGGACCATCTAAAATTCCGTTCTACGTACAGTTTTATTTCTGAAGTCCCAAAATCCCTACAAAGGCTTCTTTAAAAGGCCAGAGAGTTTTGTCAGAGAGACTGTGGCTGCCCCATCCCTGGAAGTGTTCACAGCCAGGTTAGGATGGGGTCCCGAGCAACCTGATCTACTCAATGGCATCCACGCTCATGGCAGGTGGGGCTGGAACCAGATGATCTTTAATGTCTGTTCCAACCCAAATAATTTTGTAATTCTATGGAATGACCCCTGATTAGCCCCATTCAAGTGTTAGATGCAAGAGGTTTTATTGTTTTTGTTTATTTTGTTTTTTCTTAAACAACCCCATAGTGGTCACAAATGTCAAACCCTGTTTTAAACATCTCTACAAGCATTTTTAGACCTAGATGTCTAAACTTAGGTCATTAAAAGAAAGGTTAACTCCCGATAGTCACTGCAATGCCTTCGGTTTTACAGCTTATTCTGGAAGTGCCACAAGAGGAATCTGAAAGACACAAGACACCCAAGTTTACATAATTGGCATTAAAATAAAAGGTTATTAAGCACCACAGAGTAGTAGCTATCTGTTGGTTGCAGTCAGTTGCACTTTACTACGAGCCCATGAATTGTCAGAAGGGCTGAGCATCTTTGCCTTTGGCAGCAGCTCTAACTCAGGTCAGCTAAGGACAGCATGTGCTCACAGCAGGCACCGGGGTGCCCTGGCAGACCCCGCTGCACCCACACGCAGACACACCAGTTGCTTCAGAACAATTGTTGCAGCCTCGTGATGCCACAGACAAAAAACCACTTATTGCAGGAACACTGGAAATGTCCTGCACCAACTGCCAGCAAGTCTTGCAGGGGCTTCAGCAGGAGACTGTCACATCTCATTTGGGTGGCATGCATCATGAGCATCACCCAAGAGCGTTGTTTGGGAGGCAGGGCAGCACACTGTTCTCTAAGGGATCACCAACAAGATGTTCCTGTAGATCATTCTGCAGTTCAGGAGGTTAAAAGGGCCAAGCTGCTCCATGGAGTACCCACAAGATCACAGCATGCTCCCTTTCCACCCCTACATACAGAGTGTGAGCCAAGCCACTCTCTGAGCAGGGTGATTAGCACAGACCTCCAAGAGCTGACCTGGTCACTTTCTACCGTCAGTTCCGTGCTGCTGCCTTAGACCCCAGATTCCTAAACTTCCTTAGATTACATCCACACACTCAGGCTGGTGGTTACTCTAAGAAGGGCCGTCCCAAACTGCTACATGGAGTGATGTCACTGCAGCACCTGACACTGCA